CCTGCGATGGAGCTCCGCCATGTCTAATTACTCTAACGGTAAACAAAAAGAGCTCGGGTGGGGACGGAGCGGGGAGAAGGCGGAGGAGGGAGAGGAGAGGAGTGACATGAAAAAACACAGCTGGCTGAGCGCCGTGTTATTATAGTTCTTTAAGCGATACTGTTAGCTTGGTCAGTCTTTTAGCTGCGCAGCTAATGACTAGCTACACCTAATTACAGGCCGCCAGAGCTGTGCCGGGACGCGGTATTCCTTCCCCGGATGGTTGTTAACCTCCCCCGCAGCTAGGAGCCAAGGGCCCAACCCGACTCCCATTACCTCCCGGCCCTCTGCACCCACTAAATGCCAAATTAGCTTTGAAGGTGTTGCATTGTTCTCCTGGCGCGCTATGCGAGAGCTTTTGTTGGAAAAAAATATATAAATATACATATCCAGGAGGATGTTTTCAAAGAGAGAATAAGCAAGCAAATTTGTCCAAATAATCACATACTGTGTGAGTTTTCAGGCAAAAAGGGAGCAAAAAAAACAAAAAACAAATGATTTATTACACTTTTGATCACGGCAATATTTCAAAACTAATGTTGCAGAAATTTATTTGGCTAATTCAATCCTCTTCAGTCATCTGGAAGATATTTGATCTCTCGTGTTGTTTTACGTCCAACGCATTAACACTGTGAACATGGGAAAAGAGAGGTCAAAAAGCTCAGAAGCATTTCGGTTTAGGTAATCAAGCTTGCTGATGAAAAGCCTGTTTTGGTAGTCTAAGGGGACTGAGTGAAGTTTTAGATTTTCTAATAAAACGAAGGTCAGATTAAGAAATAAGCAAAAGAAAAAAATAAATAAAAATCTAAGAAGTGTGATGCGCAGTTTTGCGGAGCCCCTCTGAGTCCACACCCAAGAACCACCTATTTCTGCAATCACTAATGCAAATTTTTTGGGTCACATTTATACCAGTTTTGCACATCTGGAAACAACATTTTTTTATGTTACTATCAACCTGCTGTTTGTTCCTGCTGAAGAAAAGCATTTCTACAGCATGATGCGACGTCCACCATGTTTTATGCTAGGGATAGTGGTGACCAAGATGGTGTGTCGTGTTTTGTTTTACTGCCACACTTTGTGTTTTTGCGTGCAAGTCTGAAAGTTAGATCTAAATCTCCTCTGACCAGAGTTTACAAGTGGGATTGCAATCTTTAGCCGGCTTTGGTTGCAGTGGATTTCATTTAGTGGCGTCACCGTAAAGGGGGAAAATGCACAGTGCAGTTTGGAATTTAGTAAAAAAAGATGTGAGAACTGTGTAGCATTTTCCTTCCACTCCATAGCTACATGGAGCAATAAAATTGGATTTTACAAGAGGGTAATTAAGTAAACCAAGATGTGGAATAAAGCTCTCGCAGATATTTTAATCACACGGGTCAAGAATTTGCACATTAGGTAGAAGAGGATGTTGTTTTTAGAAAGCACGGCATGCTGAAGTTTTCAAAGGCACCTGGACGGACGCTTGTGTGGACACTAGCAGTTAAAAAACAAAATGCTTCCTCTTGGCCTTAGAAATGGACTGACTTCTAGGTGAAATATTCCCTTTTACTGTGTCCTGAACTGACACGCTGCGGCGCCGTTCCAAACATTCAGTTGTTTCCCCCGTCCAATTCAAACTTCTCCTCATCTCAGGAGTGAGTGATGCAGTATTGAAACCATATGCCAGCCAGAGTTCCTCATGGATCCTCCCATCCCGTCCAATCCCAGAACTCCTCTCCCCGCCTCGGACACATGGCTGTCACAGGGGGGGCAGCAGACCGAGGGTGGGGGGTGCGCTCCCAACTTCCTGTGCAGGGTCTAAATATTTACACTCCCAGTCGTGCCGAGTGGCGAGTGCAGCGAGATCTTGATGTTTTGGGTTATGTAAAGTGCATTTAACCGATTGTGTTCATTGGAAAATGTCTTTGAACAGATTTGCTTCTCCTCATCCTCCTGACGCAAAAACAGGGAAGCAAAAGCAGACTGCAGGTTTCTGTTTGCTTACGAAACCTGAAATGAGTTTTTCTTGAAGTCACTCTGACGTGAAAGCGAAGGTGACAGCCTGGCAGAGGAGGACATGAAGTTGCGCAACAAACCATGAGTGCAAAGCAGTGCCATCTTAAGACTCCGCCGCTCCTGCCGGTTCAAGCTTCCACCTTGTTGTTTTCTGCATTAGTTCAGTCTTTGGAGGAAGCCACCGAAGATGCTCGGAACAAACAGAAAACAGAGCCAAACAAACTATTCGCAGAGAGCAACAGGGAAGCACAAAGCCAACCTGTCCCACAAATACATCTGTTTACTGTGCAGATGTTAGAGTCATTAAACAGAGCCGGCGAAGCGAAGCAGAGGTAAATTGCTTCCCAGGTAGCTGGCCAGAAGGTTCTATTTGCAGCACCCCGGTCAGAGCTGGGTTTTGGCACCGGGCGGCAAAAAAGCGAGTCAGCTTTTTGGGTATGGACGCTTAACCGTTTACGGTCTCGTCATTAGTTTCAATTCTCAGCTCTCTGGATGACGTCAAACAGTTTCTGAGAAGCACAAGTGAGCTTTGCTGATCACTTGGAGTTAAGAGCTCAAACAGGTGTACCTATTTTAGTCCGTTTTCGAAGCAAAAGTTTCCTCATGGCTTATAATCTAACCCCGATTTAAAGCCACATCGGCTTTTTACATTACTTTTTTTTTTGACGTATTTGTTCAAACTGTCACAATGTTTTGAAAGTACATTATGAGACAGATAACCTGTGAAAGATTACCTCCCCTCCATGCTAATATTGCACTTGTCAAAAACAACCAATCAGAGCCAGTGTCTTAGCGCAGTCAGTCATGCTCATGTACATGCTGCTAAATGTGCTAATTGCGGAGAAACAACTTAACGTTTCAGAAAAACTATTTATCTGCCATCACCTGTTGCCAAGCCAACTAGCCTGAGCATTCATGACAGGCTCTAATCAAACATAAGCTGCAGCGCACAGCAGAGAGCAAGGTGGAGGTTGTGACCAGTGAATACAAAAGCATGATTGACAGCACTAAGACCCTCTCATTGCTTGCTTCTGACCGAGTGGTGTATTTCTGTAGTTACCACTGGGAGAGGGCAGAGGAGCTCCTTTTTTTTTCTAAAGATTATCTGCCTCATTTTGCCATAACATAGTGACAGTTTTAACAACTATGCAAAAATCATATATTTTTATAAAAGTTATAAACTTTTTTATAAAAGCTCTAAACCTCTCCATGACTTCATCCCTGACTTGTTTGCTGTGAATCCACCACAGATGGTCTATCAAAGGAAAGAGACTAAAATGCAAAATGTAAAGAGCTTTTAAACTGTCAGGGTGTGAACGTTTTGAACTTCCATATATGATAGCCCTGTGTGTGTAGAAATCTGCTTACCGTCTATTTAAAGTATAATTGTTGAAATCCGTCGGACGTGATTTCACCAAAGGTTTTAAGTGATCTCCTCAAAAATAAAAAGAAATTTGCAGGATTTTTCTGACCACGTTCTGGTCCCTAAAGAGGATGGTCACCATCACACGTCTAAGTTATGTCTTGAACTAGTCTGTGATTTGTTTCTCTGACTAGTTTCGGAAATGAGCATCTATTTTCTGCATCAAATAAAAATAAAATAACATGCTTCCAGTGGGAAATTACATATTTGCTTCATGGAGCTGAGGGGATATTCTGACGGAGCGACAGCTCCCTCTCTCCTGCTGCTCCGCTCAAGCAGTTTACGTCGCCGTGGTTTGCGAGTCGCGTCGTGACTCATCAGTCAAATTAGGCGGCGATCAAACCAATATTGACGGCGTGTCCGTCGAGCGCCACTCACACAATAAGCCCTCGCAGTGGCACCTTGGCGTTAAGCAGCATTGAGTTGGGCCACAATTACTCAGCAGGTGAAAGGTGGGCGGGTTAGGGTTTGATTTAATTTGAAACGCTTGCAAAGCTAATAAGATGAGGATTATCCTTCCTCATTACATCATCCGGTAAGCTGCTTGAGGAGCGAACTGCAGTGGAGTTTAAAGATGAGGTCACCTGTCAAGATCAACCACTGAATATTTAGCAACTTTTTTTCAAAATAAATACTCCCTTTATAATAGGCCGAGATCAAAATGCCCTGCAAGAGGATGCATGGAGATTTGTTTTTCTTTTTACATTTTTGTCACATCCCAACCACAAACTCCTGTCAGGATTTTGAGATTTTTTTTTTTATATCTCTACTTAATTTTATGTGATTTTAGTATTTGTCCTAAAATACTGCATGCAATTATTGTTTGTATTTTCTTTTGTTATGTTTTTCCAGAGAGCTGCGAGCCAAACTGCCCTTTTCCAGAATAAATAATGTTACTTGATTTGATTTGACTCGATTTCTTCCTTGGGTTTCCAGCTAGCCTAGCATTTGGTTGCTCGGCGCTGAATTTAAAGGTATCAGATTGAACGGGGGCCACGCTTTTCTGGCTTTTATTTAATAAGTTTTGGGAAAAAAACTACATCTTTTCCGTTCCCACCACGATTATGTGCAACTTTGTGTTTTTCTATCACCTAGAAGGCCAGTCGAACGGCCGTTTAACATGGACGTTAAATGCTGTTTTCCAAGACATCGTGTACTCTGAAAACCAAAAACGCAAACAGTTGTAAAAAACATGCAACTTTTCTGACACTTAATTCCGAGTCCAAACCCTCCCAGCAACAGAAATCACCTTCATAAATCACAAAGGAGGCTGAATATTCAATCTCCTTCTATCCTTAAGGGGAAGCTGCAGGGAAAATAAATCCCGCACATCATCCCTCAGCTACAGTTTCCATCTAATAGTTGCTGATTACAAAGAGATCCTGTGCAGGTCGGGTCCAATTCATCAAATACTTCTAAAGGAAATACCTTAACCAGACAAACCGTGTGCAGGCTGGACATAATTCATGCATCTATGGAGGTAACGTTGAGGTTAGTTTTGTATCCGTCTGCATTCTGAGGTCGGTTAAGGTTTTAGCACACTGACCTGTTTGGCCTGACCCTCTGGATGCCTCTTGCGGTTGTGTGGACCGGTTGCGATTCTGGTGTCGCCGTTTCCCGCCGGCGGAGCGTGCGGAGCGTATGTGGACCTCGCTGACCTTAAAGAACGCCACCATGAAAGGCTGCTTCTCCAGCGCGCCATCTCGTCCCACGAGTCCCGCGTCTTTACAGCTGATGGTCTGCCCTGCTTGGGAAAACAGGCGACTCTCAGACAAGCGTCGCAGCTCAGTTTGGTTCATTCTGACTGTTTTATGATCTGTTTTCGTTTCATGTTGTTAAAAGGAAGCGAGTTAGTTAAACTGATGAATATTCACTGGAATCTATAAACCGATCTAGAACAAAACGTGGATCTGAAACCGTGCTGAGTGTCGCTGAGTTTCTCACCGCTACTGGTCTCCACGCTGACCTGCAGGCCCAGGTTATGCACCGGACTCATCACCCACAGGTTGCTGGTCGCCGTGATGTCAAACTCCAGCCATCCTTCCTCAGCGGCCCAAAGCCTCCGGGACTCCAGCAGGAACAGATCCGCCTCTCTAAGGCAAACAAAACAGCCAGAACTTCAAAAAAAAAAAAAAGGCGTCGCACATACACAGGCACAGTTAAGTTGAGTTGGAGTAAAACTGTCTTGTTCAGTTTTTACAAGGTTCTGTATATTTTTAAGCCCAAACAAGGATTTTTATCTCAAGACATGATGTATAAACTGACTCTTCAAATTTGATGTTTTGTTCCATCAATTCATATTTGAGTTTTTGAATGAAATTTTTTCACATGGAAAGCAAAAAAGAACCTAAATATTGGACACCAGTGAGGTCAGACCCTCTGTGCCACTTTCTGTGAGTCATCTACGCTAAAATCACTTACAACATTTTTCTGTGCAAAGCAGTCAAGCGGAATGTGTCGAACGCTGGAAAGAAGTGTGACTCGTAAATGAGAAGCGAGAACCGAGGAGACGTAAGAAAAAGGCAGAGCGTGGATGATAAGAGGGCCCCCGCCGTCCCATTAGAGACGGTAATAACACAGCAGAGAGCCCGTGGGACCGTCGTCCCAGAGACGACATCAAAGCTCCGCAATCATCCAGGTGTTCGCAGAATGCCCCTGCAGCCATGTCTCTGCGGCCCCGCTTTATTGGTCTGTAATGAGAGCGTTTGACAGCTTCCGCACGAAAGCCCCTGCACGCCGTCGCTCCAGCTGGGCCAGGACGCTGACGCTTCACACGGCGATCATGTGACGACAAAAGATCTTCACCCGAGATCCACTGAAACTTCTCATTCCTGACTTCTTACAAAAACTGTAACCTATAAATAACAGAAGTTTTTTTGAGGGGGATTTTGTATGAGTGACATGAATTTATTGGAATATTTTGTGGTTGCATTGTGATAACGAGAGCGACAAAAATAACTATTTATTGCTCATTTTTGAGGTAAGTGTGTGGTGATTGGTTGGCACACAAACGCAAATACAGACCTCGAAAACCATTTGCATTTGTTATGCTTCTTTAGGACAGCAGTCGCATAAAGAAGAGTGATCTGTGTCACTAGTAACTACTGCATTTAATCACATTTATTGCTATTTTCATTCTGGAGAAAATAGTAAATCTAACAATCCAAAAAATATAAACAGTTTTGGGAGGATTTTAAGCAGCATTTAATTGGACTTTATAAATTGGACAATAAATTAGAATTTATTTCATGATAAGATATCATGAGAAATCATAAACAGTACGATAAATGTCCACCCCTAGTTTGAAGAAGCTTCTTTAAATAAATCTTGTTTGCTTTGCTTATCTTCATATGCGAAGTAGAACAATTTTCTGGTCCTTTACAAAAAAGGCATATTTGTAAAAGTAATAAACCAAAATGTGAGCAAGGTTTCTTGAACTAGAGGTACGTTTATCAACATAAATTTCATTTTAAAAAGGCTACATAATTATTTTTCAAAGATAACCATAATTGGTTGAAAAAAAAAAAAGAAAAAAGCTGATTAGCGGTCAGCAGTTGGGAGTAGCCGGCCTGTTCTTATGTCAGCTCTGCCACATTTTTGGCATTGTAATCTCTCGCATTCCTGGCCTGCTGCTCAAGAAGCCAATCGAATGAAAAGAACAAAGGGCGTCAAGCTAATTAAACACTCTATCATTACAGCTCAGAGCCAAAACGGGAGTCAGGGCCACGGGAAAAGTTAATTGGCTTCCTGCAGATTTGGCGATTGCACAGTTACAGTTTAACGTGTAAAATTAGAAGAGGGGAAAAAAAGGAGCTTAAAGCTAAAGATCTTTTACTTTTATTTCACTTAAGCCCCATCCTGGTAACCCAGCAACCCAGCTTAAAAGAAAAAGGGATTCAAGAATGTGAAATTTAAGTAGTTGTCTGCTCAATTGTAATGTTTTAGCAACGAGTGGTAAGCTCTAATTCTCATTAAAATGCAGATGTATGGGCCTTAAGGATTGAACACATTTAGCGGAAATTGAGCGCTAAAGCCACCCAGCTCAAGGTGTCTTACTACATCAATTCTCCATTGCTCTAGAGCCTGCTAAAGCGAAGCGACTGAGAATAAGCTGAAGTATATCAGAAACTCTCCATTTACGTCGTTTGTCAGGGAGCAGACTTCCTGAAACACCAAACCCATTCAGAGGCGCTGTTTATCCGCCCTGCAGAGGTAAGGTAAATGTTTGACGTGTATCAGCTGTGGTTATTTAGAAGATTCGACTCTTTTAAAGCTGAAGTTATTTCTGCAAGAAAGGGGGGAAGGGTTTGCTCAGCTTTGCATCATAAACATGGGATGAAGCGACGGACACCACAGGGGAAGCAGAACGCTGGTTTCTGAGCAGCAGGAGTTTCACAGCAAAAAACTCGGTTTCAGTGGCAAAACTGCCTCCTTTCTGGAAAAACTTCGTATCGATGGGTTTACAGTCTCTGCTATTGTGTGAAAACGTCAGAGGATTGTTGGATAACATTAGTGAACAACAACATCATGAAGACCAAGGAACACATGAGGGATGATGTTGCTGAGAAGTTCAAAGCAGAGCTAGGCTACAAAGCGACTTGCAAGATCTCACACAGCTCTGTTAAACCCATCATCCAAAAACGAAAAGCTGCGAACCCACCAACATGTGGCCGCCTATCTACACTTTCGGATCGGACAACAAGAAAACCAGAGAAGCAGCCAAACGGCCCATTAAACTGAGGAGGAGCTCAGGTGTTACGGTTTGTTGACAGGACAGCTGTTAGCTCTCCACAAATCTGGCCTTTATGGAATAAAAAGGAAGTTATAGCTGAAACAAACACACAAGTTTTATGGACGCCTTGTAGGAGACGCAGCAAACATCTTTTGGCCTTGATGTAAAAACTATGTGGTGGTATTAAAAAGCTCAAAGGATGCAATGACTTCTGTAAGGCTCAGAGTTTGTAAAAACATGCCTTTATAGGGCAGCAACTAGTTTAGCCATAAAATTCTGAAAGTTTCAGTGACCTTGACACATGGAAATACGGCTAATTTTTGAAAGAACCAAGAATAAAAGGCCTCTCGCGTGTTCTAGTACCTGTCAGGGTGCTCCTTCACCACCTGGTAGACTTTGAGCATGAAGGTGTCGTTGCGAAACGCTTGGCTCACGCACTCCTTGTAAAGGCGAAACTCGGCTGCCGTGATGGCCTCGCCCTCCGGGATCTGCGACAGGTTGAACTTCAACTCCTTGTGGTGACGCCGCTGCAGAGAGAGCTCCCGGTCATACTCCACTGCAGGGAACAGGAAACACAGAAATACAGGGGGCGGGGGGAGAGAGAAAGTCAACTAAACTGTTGCAATGCAACCAATATTCATCATCACTTTTTTTTTTCCTGTAACTGCACTCACAGTCCAGACATACTCGTCTACAAATAAAGACCAAAGTATATATTTACAAACAGGGATTTCCGTTGAAATATACAGCAGAGACCGATGAGCGGATATCCTTTTCGCAGACGCTGCTCTGAGGTCGACCACGGAAGTCTTTCATGCATGTAAAACATGTGATTTATATGTGGACTCTAATAGGTTTTGAGGCTTTCATCGCCCAAAAACAAATCCCTGTTATCAGTTCGAAGTGATTTTTTATTTATTTATTTTATTTCTCAGCACCGGCGACCTCGGAGACATCGTGGGACCACTTCTCACAATGTATAGAGGACAAAAAGTCTCCCTGCTGTGCTTCTAAGAGCAATATAGGCTATAATGGTACCGTGCGCCAAGAGGAGTTGGTTCTGTTCACAGTTGGATGCCTTAATCCCACTTGAGAGACTGGAAGGTTTACACAGGAAGGAAGAAATCCCAGTAAAAACCCGGGCCTGCTGCATGCATTTCTTGTTTACAGGAGGAGCTGGGAAAAGGTGAAACTTTCACAAAGTCAGTCCCCTCAGAACCTAAAACCCACATTAGCAGGCTTTCGACGGAAGAGTTTCTCACACGTCTCATCCCGCCAGACACAGCAGCACGCTATCATCATCTCTAATCCGGCTTCCAATCAGCACAGAGACGTTCAGTAAATCTGCGGCTTCACCACAACCGACTTTAACTGCAGGCTCGCTGAGAACCGTTCCACCAACTCAGCTTTTCACCCAATAAAACTGGTTCCGAGCGGTTCCCGGATCTCACCCAGGGTCATTGCTTTTTTGCGCGACACAGTTCAGTCACCTTTCTCGGCAAGGCTGCGCGGAGAAATTGCACCACTCCAAGCCTGGCGGGCTTGGGGAGGTGGGAGCGGAGGGGGTTTGTGCGACCGAGAGACTGTGGGAAACTACTTGCTTGGTCCTGCGTGAAACCGACATCATCTGTTTACCAGCAGCCGTAAAGCATCCTAATTAGATATGCTGAAGTTCATTTCTTCAATGGAGGTTTCTGTGGCAGATTCTGTTGGCCAGGCTGAGCAAACTACCACAGCTGCAAGCAATACTTGGGCAACATTAAAGTGCCTCGCAAAAGTATCCACAACGACGGAGCTTTTTCATATTTTCGCAAGGCGTGAATGCTAACCTGTTTTTATTGGGATTTTACATGTGCCCAGATCCAAAGCGGCACATAGGGATGCATTTTATTAACAAAGACCTTAAAAGTATGACATGCAGTCACTTTGATATCCCTAAATAAACCCAGGTGATAGTCAAACATGCATGTAATTATATCTCAGTTACGGCCCAAACACGCAGTCAAAACTTCAGTGGAATACTAAAAGTAATAATACATTTTTACAAACATCCCTTGCATCTTCAAATCTCAAAGGGTTAATAGAACAATAATAATAATAATAGTTTAGATCAGTGCATTTTATGTCTTCGAATGAATCAGAGTGAAGATTGAAAACAGGGAATCTGTAGCAATATTCATAAATGAATGTTTAGAGATCCTTTGAAAAGAAAAAGTGGGCAAAAATTACTAAATGTGCAAAAGTTTTCCTCGAGATGTGGGAAGATCCCAAAATTTCAGATTTCTATTTGTGAAATACTTTAAAACTAATTTTTCAGAGTCATACGCTACGTCACATAATGAGTTCTGTGTTGGCTATAGTCGCACAAACTTATACTACTTGTGGTTATAATGTTATTGAATATGAAAAAATCTGATATGCCAGTAGCTAGCATATGGACATGGACAGATATCTGACCTGATCACAGTTTTACAGCACATCACGCTTTGGGTAAGTGTACAGCCGAAACCTCAGTTGAATTTGCGCTTCAGCCAAACGCTGTAAAGGTTTCTGGTCATTTTATGATGTGGGGACCCACCCTGTGTGAAACGGTGACACATCCGGGGAACAGAGTGTGTCACACAAGATAAAACTGTGCAAATGTGAAAACACTGGAACCAGTCAGGCTCTCACAGAAGTGTCAGCCCCGCCTTGGACCCACACCCAGGAAGGTCAACGCCCCCCCCTCTCCCTCTCCCCAGGCACTTCCAGCTCTCGCCGACTCTAGCGAGGAGCCGAAGACGTGTCAGTCAAAACACTCATGCATAATGCATCTCTGCGTTGCAAAAAATAAACTCGGTCAAAACAAATTTTCGTCACCGAAGCATCTCGGTTTACGGCTGCCTCTCTGTGTCTCTGCGGCGCAGGAAACCACCGGTCGAGAATGAGATGTTATTCGCATCAGCGTCACTGAGACTTCTATCAGATGTGACAGTGATCGTTTCATCGTCTTCCTCCAAAAACTGCCCACACACACGCGCGCACGCACACACACACACACACAGCAGCGACTGTGTGCGATAACAGCTCGGCTCTAGTGTTGACGGGTAGATCGATCCACTAAGCCGGTGTGTGGAGGCCTCAATCAGAGGTCATGCTACGCAAAATGACTTTACAAGACTTACTGTGCACCTCTGGGCTTGAACACAAACACACTGGAACTTTATACTCTGCCACTTAACATTCAAGTGACTTTCTGGCTAGAAAACTTTTGATAAGCTAGATGGGGTTATGAGTTTGTTTTGTTTTTTTCCCCCAAGCATATGTGATAACTGTTAACAGGGAAAATAAAGAAAAACAGTGACATAAATGTAAAAAAAATAATGATAATTTTAAATATTAGCAGCTTATTGGCAAGACCTGATTTAATGAGTTCTCAAAGAAAATATGCTGTGGTGCCACCACTGTTAGTCAGCTGGCTGAAAGAAGGAGACGACCTCTCTCCAAGCACAATTATTTTATGATTGCAAATATCACTGGATACAAAAAAAAGAAAAAAACCCCAGTTGAGATGAGATTGGAAACTAAAAGAGGATTGTAGAAAGTGATAGAAAGATGTTTACGTTTCTGTTTTATTATTAATTATTATTCATCCAGTACAGTGTATGTTAATATCTCGTTTCCTCTGTATTTGAGAAAGTCGTCTGTAGGAAGTGTGTGGAAAAAAAAAAACAAGAAACAAGAGGGAGACTGAATACCAGAGCAAATGTTTGGACTTCAGCAACAAATAAATGAAACAGATTTCCCTCACAAAGCCAAACAGAAGCCGAACCGAGTCTGTTTGACCCTCTAATGAAGATGCTCAGAGAGTTGCTTCAAATTTCCTGAACCATTCAAACAAAACTTTCTGCTCGTTGCAGAGTTCTGAGAGCTCCTCTCCGAAGGGGAAAAACACTTTTTCCCCCTGGATGAAAAAAAAACGCGTCCGCAGATTTCATTAGGCCCTAATGAAATTCACAGGACGGGTTCCTTTAACGATTATTTTCCACCAAACCCAAACGAAGCCTCCAGGCACCTCGCGCTCACTAAACAGCTCAGCGGCCCCGCTCATCCATCAGTCAATCATTTTTGTAAATTTCAGAGAGGGGAGTCGTTCTCGGCGGCCGCACAATTAAAACCCTGAAATCCAGACGCAGGCCGAGTCTCCCGTCTCACATTATGGTGGGTTTGTTTTTTATCACTGCAGCCCTGTGTGAAGCAGCCTGGGAGCCGCAGCGTTTCCCGGGTAAGTAGCATTCCAGCTGCTTCTCCGCCTTCTCAGCTTGAATTTCGATTAAAATCCGCCGAGGGTTCGCGCTTCAAATCAAAAGGAAGTCTTCACGCGGTGCGCGCGCGGAGCATAACCTCTGCGCTAAGCCACCGTGACGTGACGTGACGTGAGCTTCGAGACAGGAACACACAGCAAAGGGATGCAGGGGAACCAGGCAGAAGTTCTCTGGAACAGAGAAACTGTCCCCGTTTGTTTAAACAAAAAACACACAAATTACAGAGCTCGGTGACTCATTTAAATATTTTTCGCCTTTCATTTTCATCACCGCGAAAGGCACAAAGTGGCAGTCGGAGCAACAAGGAAACCTGACAGCATCGGGGAAATTTTGTGATTCACCCCGGCATGGTGGGTGATATCATCGGCTCCAAGAAGCGGCGCAACATACGGGAAGAAAAAAATCAAACCAAAAGGAAAAGTGAGTAAGGAAAGGGACGACGGCGGCCTGACAGGAACGACAGAAAAAGGGGGCAAAGCGCGCAGAGTTTCCGGGGAACGAGAGAGCTGCGGACTGAGTCGTGGGACAGACGGGAAGATTGGAGAGGAAAGAGTCGGCCTGGGCCGCGGTAGAAAAGACGAGCGCAGGAGATAGCTGCTGACAGGAAGAGAGTGAGTTGGAGGGTTTGCAGATTCCCCTGGACAATTTGACAGTAGCTGTTCTCTCGTTTCCACCTGCGCAACATCTGGCTCTGCTGTCTGCTGCTGCTGTAGGTATCATGTCCCCACACACACGCACACGCACACACACACACACACACACACACACACACAAACAGAGAGACAGAGAGAGAGAGAAAGGGTGAGTCTGAGTAAACTTTGCTCTCATGTTTCCATATGGCTCCTTTTAACAATCCAAATTTTGATGATTTGAGAATATTAGTGGTTTAAAAGGCCATTATGAGACATAATGCACCGATTTCTTCAAACAACAAAATCCCATTGAGAAGGAAAAAATACCATTCAGCCTTAAATGCCATTTTGATTCAAATCAGCAGTGAATGATTCATTGATTTAACTTTTATCCAAATGAATGAATCCCACAAATGCGTTATACACAAAATAACATGACGGAACCGAGATACCACAGGCGCCTTGGGAAAAAATAAAACAACACAGTTCCATCAAGTTTCAACCCAAACTCTGTGTATTGTAAAGAAAAACAGCCTTAAGGAACACAAGTCTCTGAAAGTGCTTAAATAAGAGAAGAGTTTGTTACAGTAAGCTAGCCCAGTTATTTATACAACTACAGT